ATGATCTGATCATTGTGATTCTTATTATATTATATACCTAATAAACAAAAGAAAATACATGACATCCAATGCACAACTAATTCAAAAGATCTTTTTTTAATAAAGCAGACTGACCAGCAATTTTTTAGAAACTGCCATTGTGATGTAGCAAATCAATGACCCTGAAAAAAATTTCTTCTGTTAAAAAATGAAACAAGTAAACCTACTATTAATACTTTGCCATAGTCTTGTCATCTGAAAGGCCCAGGAGACTTCTGAAAGGAATAGCTCATCATCTATGGTTACTTTAACTGCTGACCCACTATTACATTAAGTACTGGCTCTGTGGTACAAGCATCCTTTAAATACGAATGCTGTTCTCAGGGTTTTGGCTCTAGCTTCTTAATAGGACTGTTTTCATGAGTGTCATCTGCTTTGTTAGGAAACAAGTTCTTTAAAATCATAAATTTCATCATTATTATTCCTTAACTGTATCTGTTATATCCAGATGGTCACAAAAACACCGCATAAACATCTTCATTATAAATATTAAGATGTAGAAATTATTGCCTTCTTGCATTAAGTACTTGCATTAACACACAAACAACAATAGTAAGATAATTATCACTAAAGTTTATTTAACATGTTTGGCAAATAAAACAATTGAAAATGTCTAGCATTAATTTACATAACATAATTCGAATGCAAATTGAATATAATTTCTACCTTCAGTTTGGAATAGCAGTTTTGCAGATGTTCCATATCACTTCCCAGTTTCAAATTCTGTGTTTCCACATTTTCCTGAGCTAGGAGGTTCTTTCGATGAAGTACAAGTAGTTCTTGGATACAATTTAAAACTGCAACTATATTTAAGTCTCTTTTAACCTCTTTACCTTTGGATTCTTCATATAATGAAGGAAAACCTAAAGTAGTCAGCTCCTGGTAGGAGAAAAATATTTTTTTTTCTAAAAGCATCTGTTGAACAAACTTAAGAGGTAGATAATGACTTTCCAAACTATCCCCGAAACACTTAAACATCATAATATACTTGTCCTTACTATAAAATTTTCTCTCTGAGCTATTAGACACTACAGTTGAATAAACTGATTTCTGCCAGTTCTTTATTTTTAAAATTACCTGATCAAGATAGGATATACTCTGGTCAACATTCTCTTCTGTGCAGAAAGCCCTGAAAAAATTGTGCACGCTCTTTGCCAAAGGTAGTGAAGGACACAGAACTTGCTGTGAGTATAAACTTGAAGGAGACATATTGGTTTCTGAGGTAAACTGAGAAATATTTTTGCTTTCTGAAAGTCAAGAAAAAAAATACTTAATATAAATTATTTAGGATATTCACCAAAAAATCACTCTAAATTATGTGGCTTTTAAGAGTATTTTCAAATAAAAATAAGAATTTTTGATTAAAAAAAAACCCAATACAATTATGTTCATTTTCACAAGACGCCAATGTGTAGAATAGTTTTTAAATCATTTTCTCTCCTTCTATCCCAACCACCATTAAATTACAGCATAAAGCTTTAATTTATACCTTAACACTTCTTTCCCAACAATTTGGGTCTAATGAATAACAAAAATCTACTTAATCCATACCACACACAATTTATAAAGACTGGCAGTTACTATGGGAGTCTCTGCCCTCAAGGAGCTCATAATCTAATAGATAACATGTAAATAATTAAAATGTATAGAAGATATATACAGAGTAGATGGAAGATAATGTGAAGGGGCAAGGCACTGGCAGCAGGAGTGATTGGGAAAGACCTGTAAAAGTTAGGGTTTGAGCTGAGCCTTAAAGAAAGCTGTGAAAATTAAGAGGCAGAAGTGATGGAACACAGCATTCCAGGCAATGGAGTGCTGTGTTGAAGTAACTGTTAATTTAACAGAAGGATCAAGAGGTAACATGTAGACAATTGTGATAGTCACTGAGTATTCAGAAGGCAGAGAATTGCCAAAAATATCTTAGCGTCCAAAATTCACTATTCATCTCAAACTCTACCTATCCATTACAACATATAACACACTCTGAATTTCCCTTGAAATGACAATTAGATTATTTTATACATCACAGTGTAAAATTGAGAGTCCTGGACTTAGAATCAAATGAAAGGCAAGTTCAAGCCCCACCTAACACATACTGTGTGACCATCATCAAGTCACTTAACCATCTGAGCCTCAGTTTCCCCATCTGTAAAATGGAGACAATGTTTATAGTACCTACCTCATACAAACACACACATGTGTGTGGATGTATGTATGTATATATGGAGATACAAATACATAAATGTTAGCTATTATAATGTAGGATTAGGAAAAAAAAAAGATTGATTATATAAGGAGAGGAAGGGATAACCAACTGGCAACGAGTGTGATCCCCTGGTAATGATGCAATGTTATGAGATCTAGATGAAAGCTTCAAGGACATGGTAGACTGCTTGCAGGAGATTTACAGGAAGTGATGGATGAGAGCTATGAAAGATAGGTAAGCATGTAAGAGTACTGACCTCAGTGAAACATTGGCTCCAAGGAAGCAGTCACTCAATAAGCATTTAGTAAGTACCTACTATGTACTTGGCATTATGTTAAGTGCTGGGGATACAAAGAAACTCATAACACAGTCTTTGGCCTCAAGAAGCTCACAATCAAGTACATATGCAGAGATTTTGGCCTTGGCAAGGAGGATCACCTCTTTGTCAGAGAAAGGGGGAAAGAGAAGGCAGAAGATGATTCAAAGTGTTTTGAGATGAAGAAAATGGGAAAAGAAGATGCTGATATTAAATGGCTTTAATTATCTCAGTAAAGGGCAAGGCCCTCAGCCTAAACAGAGAGAGTAAGAGAGGAGAGAGGTAGGTAGAGGAGGCTTATAGAGGGAAGAGAAGCTCTGGAATAGTTTCTGTGGGGAGTGAGTTAGGCAATCAATTAGGGAGGAATAAAGATGGCCCTGCTGCAATAAGGGTCAAGTTGAGGTTGTATAACATGATTTTTTAAATGTAATTTTATTATATATTTAACAAGTATTTTTTTCCTTCCCATCTCATCTCCTCCTCATCCTCTACTGAACTAAAAAAAAAAGGAAAAAAAAACCCTGTAACAAACATGCAGTTAAGCAAAGTGGATTCCAGCATTGGGCATGTCAAAAAATGTGTCATATGTAAAATGTATATCACATTCACTCCCTGATTAGGTATCTCTTTAGCCATGTTTTCAACAGACTATTTAATCCAGGTAAGAATTTAAGTTCATTCAAGATAATACACTTTACTTTTTTTTTTAAACTATAATTACCTGATGATGGAATTGGCACTGTAATAGTCTTCCAATCTCCCATAGCAATCAAGACAGCTAGGATACCTGAGTGACTGGCTCAGCAATAATGCATTCAGTCCAACTGTTTTGAAAATCTTCTATGTAGGCATAATCTAAAAGCATAAAGAACATTTTAGCAACAATAGTAACTAATACAGCCGTGAGATAGAGATGTATGAAAACCTAAAACCTAATACCTAACCAAAAGATTAGACTTGTGGTCTCAAAAAAATCAGGGCAATATCAACTATTTAGAACAAGAACAGACATAAATCAACATATACTGTAAAATCCTACTACGCTGGGATTATTATCTCAAGACAAGAGGCAACTAAGTGGTTGGGTAGATAGATCACTAAGCATACAGTCACAGAAACTTGAGTTCAAATTTGGCCTCGGACACTTACTAGATGCATGATCCTGGGCAAGTCACTTAATTTCCATCAAATGAGATAATAATTGTAAAGCTCTTAGCACAATACCTGGTACCTAGTAAGCACTATGTAAATGTCAGCTATGATTACTATTAAAAAGCACTTAGCACAGTCCCTGGCACATATAGGTGCTCTATTAAATGTTTATTTCCTGCCCCCAATGACCTTATGGTTTTGCATGTTATACTGCATGGAATGTAGGTGTTTTTTAATAAATGCCTTCATTCATTCATTATAGTAAAATGTATATACTATGATGCAGCCTACAGAATGAACCTCTATAGTATAGGAAGGTACTTTGCAATAGAATTTTTTTTGGCGAGGCAATTGGGCTTAAGTGACTTGCCCAGGGTCACACAGCTAGAAAGTGTCAAGTATCTGGTATGAGACCACATTTGAACTCAGATCCTCCTAACTACAGGGCCAGTGCTCTATCCACTGCACCACCCAGCTGCCCCAAGAATTTTACTTTATATTTATTTCTTCTTAGATTCAAACATATGTCTACCAGAGGTTAAAAAACAACAATGACCAGAAAGTCTATTCTATGGACAAATGAAGTCCATTCTTTGTTCTGTAGCAATAGTTATTGAGTCCAGAATCCACAGCACCTGAACTGTTTTTTTTTATGCTGCAGACTAAATAAAAAATAATCTTCCCCTCTGCTATGTAATTTCAAATTTTTTAAGTATTTTAGCCATGACTTCACTTATAATATTAAAAACAAAGTGAATCAAATGATGATTCCACTTGTAATAATGTAAGAGTATGTGTATACATATTAGCATACATTTAGAAAGTATTCTTTTAAACAGTGTAAAACAAAATTCCATAATATCAAAATGTTATTTTCCTACTCATTTACTTTATAAAATGGAAAGAGGCATGTATAAAATGTAAGAATAACAAAATTTTAGTTTTTCAGTTAGGGTGCCATCATAGCAAGTATATAATTTTTTTTTAAAGAACAAAGACCCAGTCTTCTATATGTAATAAAAGAACATGTATGGGGACAAGGACAGTGATATAGGGCAAGTCAACCAATGCCTAGAAATTCCTCCTGTATTGGTCTCCAAATACCATGAAAATCTAAGAAAAGGAAGCCAGCCTCTGTTTTCTTTCTATTTTTTGCACCCAACTCTTTGAAACAATGACAGGTAAAGATAAAGAGAAGATTCTCTCAATAAAAGATAGCAGCCCATTAAAAGCAAAGATGTTTGCATTTTTTGGTCCTATTCTCAAAAGGTTTCAAATAATCCCTGAATCCAAGATGATCATCCCTTTCCTACTGGCCATCCATCCTCATCATTTTATTACTCTCTATGTCTAGGTACTGTTTTTAAGCAAATTGGAAAGGCAAATGATAAGACTGCTTTATTTGAGTTCAGAAAAAGGAAAACAGTATTCACTATGTAAACACCACGTCAAAATAACTGTGCTTCTCTGCTCCCAGTCAGCAAAATATGACAAAACCTTTACCATTTTACCTTGTAATATCTTCATGTCAAGGGAAACGAATAGTTCTTAAGATTAAAAAACTCAATACTGTTTATGTAGCTCTAAGCTTTAAATCTGCTGTATAGAATCAGTACTAAAAGTGGGCCTAGTTCTAAAAAATACGGAAAACTTTTATAGTAAAATGGCAGTACATTTTGTTGAATTTTTGTCTTACACAAAGGTTAATATGTGACACAGTCCCATCAAGAATGCTCTAGAGTTCAGTTTGGACTCGAGTCCCACTACATCATTTCTAGAACTTGTCATCCAAATCTGACACCAATCCTTTGTCCTACACAATATGATATACATCAGTCTTTCCAAGAACACCAGACTATATGAAGTACTTTGGGAGCCAAGGTAGAAGAGTAGGGACTACTCAGTAAAATAAACAATTGGCATCCAGGCAATAATTAAGAGCTATTTTGACCAACTGTAGGCCAATTAATCTGAAAATCTAAGAGAAATGGATGAATATTTACAAAAATATAAATTGCCCAGATTAACAGAAGAGGAAATAAAATACTTAAATAATTCCATTTAAAAAAAAAAAAGAAATTGAACAAGTCATCAATGAACTCCCTCCAGGGCCTGGTGGATTTACAAGAGAATTCTACCAAATATTTAAAGAATAATTAATTCCAATACCATATAAACTATCTGGAAAAATAGGTGCAAGAGTCCTACCAAATTCCTTTTATGACATAAATATGATGCTGATACCTAACCCAGGAAGAACCAAAGCAGAGAAAAAAATAGACCAATTTCCCTAATAAATATTGTGTAAAAGTTTAAAATAAAATAATAGTAAAAAGATTATAGCATTTTATCACCAGAATAATACACTATGAACAGGTGGGATTTATACCAGGAATGTAGGGCTGTTTCGATATTAGGAAAACTATCAGCATAGCTGACCATATCAATAACAAAACTAACAGCAATTATATGATTATCTCAACAGACGCAGAAAAAGCTTCAGACAAAATACAGTACCCATTCCTATTAAAAACACTAGAGTGCATAAGAATAAATGGAGTTTTCCTTAAAATGATAAGCAGTATTTATCTAAAGCCATCAGCAAGCATTATATGTAATGGGGATAAGCCAGAAGCATTCCCAGTAAGATGAGGGGTGAAACAAGGACGCCCATTATCACCACTATTATTCAATATTGTACTAGAAATGTTAGTTTTAGCAATAAAAGAAGAAAAAGAAATCAAAGGAATTGGAACAGGCAATAAGTAAACAAAACTATCACTCTTTGCAAATGACATGATGGTATACTTAAAAATGCTAGAGATGCAGCTAAAAAACTACATGAAACAATTAACAACTTTGGTAAAGTTGCAGGATATAAAAAAAACCCACACAAATCATCAGCATTTCTATATATTACCAACAAAGCCCACCAGCAAGAGATAGAAAGAGAAATTCCATTTAAAATAACTGTAAACAATATAAAATATTTGGGAGTCTATCTGCTAAGACAAACCCAAAAACTGTAAGAACACAATTGTATAAAACACTTTTCACACAAATAAAGTCAGATCTGAACAAATGGAAAAATATCAACTGCTCATGGATAGGCCAAAGTAATATAATAAAGATGACAATTCTACCTAAATTAATTTACTCATTCAATGCCATACCAATCAAACTACCAAATATTAATTTATAGAGCTAGAAAAAATATTAACAACATTGATCTGGAAGAACAAAAAGTCAAGAATATCAAGGGAATTAGTGAAAAAAAATGCAAAGGAAGGTAGCCTAACCACACCAGATCTAAAACTATATTATGGAGTGATAATCATCAAAACTATTTGCTACTGGCTAAGACACAGAGTGGTAGAACAGTGGAACAGGTTAGGCACAAAGGACACAGTATTACTATAGTGATCTACTGTTTGATCAACCAAAGACTCCATTTGTTGGAATAAGAACTCACTATTTGACAAAATATGCTGGGAAAACTGGAAAATAATATGGCAGAAACTAGGCGTAGACACACTCTATCCCAGGGGTGGGGAGCCTGTGGCCTAGGCCACAGGCTCCCCACCCCTGCCCTATACCAAGATAAGGTTGAAATGGGTACATGATTTAAACATAAAGAGTAAGACCATAAGCAAACTATGAGAGCAAGGAATAGTTTGCCTGTCAGATCTAAGGAGAAGGGAAAAATTTATGACCAAACAAGAGACAGAGAACATTATGAAATGCAAAATGGATAATTTTGATTACATTAAATTAAAAAGTTTTTGCACAAGCAAAACCAACGCAACCAAGATTAAAAAGAACTGATGCTGAGTGAAGTGAGCAGAACCAGAAGAATATTGTATACAGTAACGACAATACTGTGCAATAATCAACTATGATACACTTAGCTCTTCTCAGCAATACAAAGGTCCAAGACAATTTCAAGACTTATAATGGAAAATGCTAACCAAATCCATGGAAAGAACTATGGAGTCCGATGCAGTTTGGAGCATACTATTTTCACTTTTTTTTCTTTCTCGTGGTTTTTCCCTTTTGTTCTAATTCTTCTTTCACAACATGACTAATGTGGAAATATGTTTAACATGACTGTACGTGTATAACCTATATCAGATTACTTGCTGTCTTGGGGAGGGGAAAGCGGAAGGGGGGGAGGGAGAAAAATTTGGAACTCAAAATCTTATAAAGATGAATGTTGAAAACTATCTTTACATGTAATTGGAAAAA